CACAACCCTAGCACTTGGCAGGCTGAGGCAGGAGGCTCACAGCAGGTTTGAGACCAGCCTGGGCTACACAGTCAGTTCAAGGCCAGATTGAACTACAGAGCAAGACATTTTCTTAAAAAAACAAACAAACACAAAATAAATCAATAAAAATTTAAAAAGAAATATGATAAAGATACACTAAGTCACGCTGATATCCATCATGTTAGAAAGGTATACTTATCTGGATTTTAAAGGCAGGATTATAGACAGCATTTCATGCCAAGCCTCAATATTATATTCTACAGCTACATACACATGAAAATAAAACTGTAAGGTAAGTACACAGGGTGTGTCTGTGTGTGTGTGTGTGTGTGTGTGTGTGTGTGTGTGAATGAAAAGGACTAAGGTCTGTGAGTTAGGCAGGCCTCAGTTTAGAACCTAATTTCATTACTGGCTGCCTTGAGAGCAACTTCTTTTAACATCTCTGATCTCAGTCTCCTCATCCATGAATTGGGCACGGTAATTCTTATACTGTATGGGATTCTTGAGAAGATTAAAAATAGAATAAATACACAGTGTAGAACACACCACCTGGCACATTAAAGCACTTTAATTTTGTCAGTGTCAGGCTATCTCATACTTTATCATTCTACCCAACATCTCACTACCAGGCACAGGGCAGGCTAAGTAAGAGAGAAGGATTGATAATCCAAATTTATGAAGAGGGGGGCTGGGGATTTAGCTCAGCCGCAAAGGGCCTGCCTGGCAAGCGCAAGGTCGTGAGTTCGGTTCCTGGTACCAGAGAAAAACCAAAAAAAAAAAAAAAAAAAAAAAAACAAATTTATGAAGAGGGCTCAAGCACATATAGAACCATTTACAGGCACAGATATCAGCACACAAATTCTAATACCTACTACTCAGCAAAATGAGAGAAAAATAGTGGTGAAACCAGTGTGATTTCCAATAAAGGACTGGTAGGCCCTCAAAGAATTAGCAAATCAAACTTATTTTCCTATAGTAACAAAGGCACCACTCAGAAGATCCCTAACTTGGGCTTCAGCTTTCTTTGGCTGTGCATTGAAGGCCCTGAGGACATTTCTAGAGGGTTTCTAGCCCTCAAATTCTTGATTCTAACATAATGGCCTTGATATCGCTGTACTTTTTCAAAAATCTGTTAAATGTCTCTGCCCTTTACAAAAACTTACATAACCATTATGAGCTGTATTACAACAGTAAAATTCTTTTAAAACACACACAGGGTACTGAGTAGCCACCCTTGGACAAGTAGGTGCCATTAAGGGGAGATCAGCCTTCACAGCATTACAGTGAATTCAAGCTGATGTAGAATTGAAAGTAAGTCAGAATGCTCATCACTTGAATCCTCTCCATCACACAAAACAGCACTGGGATTTTTTTTTTCCTCAATGAATTTACTCAATTGACAGGCCATATTGGTGTCATGCAGATAGAGGCTAACTAATCTATATGAACGCCAAGAAGTGTTTCCCGTCTTCCAAAAAAGACCCACAAGAGAGATGTGGTGTGTTTTACTGCTCTCCTCTTAATTGTGCAAACACCATTTGTTTGGCAATTTTTAACAACTGCGGAACACCTTGGTAAAACTAACCAGTTACAGGGAAAAAAAGCTCAACTTAAACTAAGGGAGGAAGACATAGGGCCCCTCACAGACTAACTGTAAATACATGTCACAGATGTGCCTAGAGCTGATCTAACAAGTTCTTTACTGTAATTTTACTGATCCAACTTTAAAACTATTTTTTAAAAAGACACCAACACCAACATGTTCATCTTTTGTTCACAAAAGACTCAAAAATAACCAAAAAAAAAAACGATCTATTTGTTATATGAGAAAATTAAGCCTCTACTCAGCAAAAATTATAGACCCTGAAGAAACTTTTTTTTTTTCATTTAGGAACTTTATCGTTCTGACTTTTTAATGAGAACAGTTTTCCAACCCAGGCATCTGGATGCTTTTAGTTAAAGATCAATGCTATAACGGATATTAAATCCCTTTGTATAAACTACCATATAGGTTATAACTATTTCTTAAAAATAATCCCAGAGCCCACCAGTTCTGTGTTAAGGTCATTGAAGCTCTGGACCATCATGGCTGAATTGTTTTACTGCTTTCTGCTGAACACCTGCAAACATCAAACAAAAACTGCTGGTCCTTTCCTGGGTTGACAAAAGCCTTTCATGTGAAAAATGCTCCCTGGGAATGTCAGGCTGTAGCTCAGGTTACATTCCATTCTTCCTAGCAGCTTCACCATTTCTTAAGGTGGTAGGAAAAACCATGTTTGTGAAATCAAAGATTAAAGAGAATATGGCCACACTCTATTTTCATTCTCACGTTGCAAATCACGATGAAGCATCATGTATTAATGGAATCAAAAGCTACTGAGGACTTTAAGCATGAAATATTACCATGCTTCACTTTGAAAAAATATAGCTGATTCTTCAAGTAGGAATAGTTTACTTATAGTTCAGATCTTCTTTTTTTTTTTTTTTCTGGGATCTAAGTTTCAAAGCAACCCATGAAAAGTGACATCTGAGTCCACTCAGGACAATGGATATTAACTAGATGTAACTTTAGAGAATGATTTCTCTACCCAAAGTTTCCAAGTTCTTTCTTCCAGTTAAAGGACAAAGCACACATTTCATGACTGCTTTAATCTGTTCTGCTTTAGAAGAGATTTATGTATTTTATTGAGTAGAAATACAAGCCATTCTCTTCACTAATAGCTCTAGGTTCTGATATGTCTTAATAGATAGGGAAAACTAACAATCCGATCTCTATCCTGTACATTATAGTCACCATCACTGCACTCACTGAATGAGCACCTTGCATCTTCAACCAAGCGGGCAAAAATAAAACAGCCACTACCCTTCTACCCCCTTATAAGTAAGCATCTGGTCCTGAAAACCACACTAGTGGTGCAGTGTAGAATAAAGTTTAACACCTTAAAAATAATCACTGCATATTCATTAGAATATCATAACATGGTCCAGTAAGGAATAAGTCCTTCTCTAGGTTTATTTATACATGGAGTTATATAGAGGTATACATACACATACATATTTGTCTTAAGAACTGTGTAAGTTTTGATATGATTACTTACCAAACTGTATTAATATATATTCAACTTAAGCATTCTACACTCTCTATAAACACTCAAACATGACAGCAAGGATTTTATTTAAATGTGAACACAGAAAATGGGCCAGATATACAGTTGTCTTTTTTTCAGTTTAATATATTTCATACTTTTAATTGCCCTTAATTTACGAAATCATATCTAAAGTAACACATTTAAATTATTCCAAATGTGTTCATTTTTACAATAGTGCAAATAAGTATTTTAATCTGACTTTGAAAGTAGTCTATCTCTGTGCCTGCCTGACTTCTATTTTCAGATTTAAACTGAATGCACATTTCTTAAGTAAAACATGAAGAAAATTACTATCAGAGACAGCTACTGTTTTGACAGGGTCTAACATGAAAAGCTAATTTGCCTATAAAAAACACTTGGACCTATCTTAACTTTAAACATTCACATTAATAATTCCTGTCATGAGAGTTATACAGACAATTCCACATAGAAATTGAAAAGATATAATACTAATAAAAGAACAACAAAAACTTAAGTTCCTAAAGGAAAACTACAACAGGGTCCAGGACAGTAAGGCACAAACACATAGTCAAGAGTATTTTTCATCAATATGGACCCCCAAAAGTGCCAAAGTATAATGACAGGAGGCATCTCATATTTTCTAAATCAAATTATTGAGAGAAAAATTCCTTAGACTAATAGGTACCAATAAAAGTAACTTACTTAGAAATGAGCAACTTTTAAAAGCCATCAACTTTATTAAAATATACCAATCATACAAATCGTTTAGGTAAACAGATTTCTTTTGTAGCTATAGCATCAGATGAGAATTAAAAGATGTGAAATTATATTGATAGTTGATAGACAATTCCAGTGGCATCTCACAGCTAAAAGATGTCAACAGTTACCAGTCTGACTTAAGAATAGTATCCTGCCTAATGTACTGCTTGTTATACAGCACTGGCAGAACTCCTAAAATACTACAGCTGTTTAACAGGCATAAATGGAGTAAGTCTTGCACCTAAAGGATAGCAGGCAAGGATGTATGACTCCTTATTTAAAATTAATTGAACAACATCAAACTAAAAATGTTTTAAATGAATATCATGTTTTCAGTCTTCACTTTTAATAAGAGACACTTAAATAGTCCTGTACTAAAAACTCTCCCTTAGATGCCAAATAATCATTGTGTACACACATTCCTTTGTGAACACCGCTAACGTCCTTTTTAAAACATCACCTAAAGATCTTTCATGTACAAATATTAAAGTCCTTTCAAATTTGCAGCTTTACATATAGCAAAAATCCACCACACAAGTAAATAAGGAAAAAGGAATAGCTAAAGCATTAAAAAGGATATATTAAACATAAATGAATTCATATTTAGCCTTTTAGATTAGCAAGAGACTATTCACAGCTTTGGTTTTCTATACAGCATTCATCTGCAAAATTAAGTGCTCATTTCTTTAAAAGAGCTAATTGTACACAGAAGCTAATAACTGATATTATTTACAAGGGATTCTCCCTTTTGATGAAAGTTAGATTTTTTTTCTCTGCATTTTCAAATAGGGAACATCAATTTATTTCCTATGTCAACACAGGTCTTATCTTCACATGTATGATTACAACTATGTTAGAAAATGACTCACATTAAGTAATGGAATTTTGAGACAGTTCTCAGTTTTAAAAAGACTACTTTTAATTGCAAAATATAACAATTTGTGTGAGTTACCCTCCTGATGGACACTGAGATAAGCATCTCATCCTAGCCTAAAATTCAATGACTTTTTCCTAACACTTCAAACAGAGACAAAAATACAGAATGAGCAAATAAATAGGTAAGAACATTTAACTTCACACTAAAAAAAAAAAAAAAAAAAATGTACATACTTGAGCCAGTAAAATGTCCACTCGCCAAAGAAGTTGGTCCATTTTTCCCACTGCTCACAGGAGGTGAAAACATCTAAAAGAAACAAAGAAATATTACAGTTGAAAAGAAGACACTTGTGCCTTCAGAGTTCATCAAAGATTTTTCATACTCTTACCACATAACTTAAGAGTTTATGCTAAGGGTTTATATAGTAAAATACATCACCATCCAACTTAAAACTAAAACAGGCACAGCACACACCCCCCCCCCATCACTACAGCTCTTTCTTTTTCCTCGGGTGCCTCAGATTGCCAAGCAATATTACTAGATTCTTCACAAATATAATCCCCACAGAGTTATCAAGATTCAGGTTGTAGGACAACAGCCTTTCTAGTGAACCCTACTTTGACAAAGGAGAAGAAAAAGTTGTTTGTGTTATATTGAAAACCTTGGCCATAAACGTGGCAACGTCCATTTCCATCCCGTTTGGATTTGCCTGTCATATGTGAACCCAAATAAAATAAAAGTGCCACCTGCGCTAAATTCTCATTTCGTCTCTAATATGAGAGCAACTGGAAGCAAGACTCTCTCTCTTTCTCTCTCTCTGTCTCTCTCACTCTCACTCTCTCTTTCACTCCCTCTCTCTCCAGCATTTATTTCGACCCTAATTGGTTTCCCTCTTTCCACGTATCTAGTGGATAATGCACACCTTCCTGAGTCAGAGCCTGCAAAAAGCAAAGGAACGAATGGAGAAAGTGCAGCAAGCAGAAAGGGGGCTGCAAAGCTGCCTACAGCTACATTTCCTGGCAAAACTTCCGAAAGCCATTTCTCCAAAAGGAGGTCTAGATGAGGAGCAGCAGTGGCGGCAGCGGTGGCGGCAGCAGCAGCATGAAAGAGCCCACTTAGAAGGCGGTTTGGATTGTATTTGTGTGCTTTGTGGATTCTCTACATTTTGCTTTACAAATGCATCTTATACCAAACTCATCTGGCATTACAAATGAATCCATCCCCTGACATGTGTGGAACTTGGTTTAGGAAAGGGAAGCAAAGGGGATGGGGAAAGACTGATTACAGCCTGTAAAACTCCACAAGTGTTAAGTTCCTCTTTGTGCTGATCTCAGGACTACGAAATTTACAAAAATAGTCCAAAGGGTTCTAAAAAATGTATGCTCAGCATACAGAGAGGAGTTTTCAGAACCCCAGGAAAAGAGGTACCGAAGAGGACGGCAGGTCCTACCAGTCCACAGCATCATCAGTGTGAAACTTTAAAGAGACAACTGGGTCTCCTGTTTTCTATTTTCCATTTCCAGCAAATAAAAAATAAGATGAGGTAGAGTACGACAAGTATTAGTACTGTTACTGTTCAGACATGGCCAAGTTTTAGGGGTGACTTACAGTTTTAGGGGTGTCTGTTTTTTCCTTTCCACTGGGGTGGGTTTCTGTTATTGTGGGGCACTGGTGGGTTAAGAATTCAAGGCAAGTAATTAGACTGAAAAAAAAAAGCCTGAATCATCCATCACACCCCAAAATGAGTTTAAAACTTGTCCAAAAGACCTTCCTATTTACCAAGGACTCAGCCAATTAAAATTCATTCCTGTCCTTTAGATTACTATTGGTTTCTAGCTGAAGTGTTTGGGCTTTCTC